GCCACTTTTTTCTTCATATATCATCTCAATGAAGGTCATTCATTGCAAAAATGACGATAAGACATGAATCTGGGACTGCAAAATGTTTCCAATTTTGTTAGGAAATACTTGAAATGACTCTCCATAGACTTTGTACACAAGCGCGAAAGTGGCGGCAGGTTGCAACATTTTTTCCTGGCGTGTTTAGCATGTGTATCGCCACACCCGTACAACCATGTCATTTTGTGTGTATAGGCTCCTTACGTGAAAATGGATAGTACAGACGACGATTTCTTTCTGACTAAAAGTAGATTTTGCAGAGACGGCGGAGAATCTGACAGTGAAGATGCATTGGTAATTTTCGGAAAGCAAATTTTCACGCAGACGGTCCTATTCATGCTCATTATGGAGAACATTATTGTCTGACGTGTTCAAAGTGTGGATTCGGAATTTCGAATCCACACTTTACTAAAGATTCGTCGTTCCGAATCCACACTTTGTGACCAGTGTAAGAGATTCGTAAATCCGAATCCACACTTTTAACAATAGTGTGACGTCATAGCAATGGTTTAACAAGAAATAGAGTACATGTATATGGATTTTACTCAAAAAGTAGGAATTTCCAAGGTGTATTGATCAGTCGCAAATTGATGTATTTTTGTAAGGGATATTAAGTCCGAATTCCAGCCCATCCCAGGAAATTAATTCTGGTTAATAATAGGAGCATTTTGAAACTTCACTTTCAAACTCGAAACTTTTAAACGCGAACAAAGAAATGACTCCACAAGGATACAGATTTCAGTATATGTACCCAGGCATAAACATATTTGCTCAAGGTAATATCTACCACCTCACAAAACATGAACACGACACTCAATTCAGCTCAAAAGTTATACATTGTATTTACAAAGTATTTTGTAACTTTTTTGACCTTATATCGCTGGTAATTTGGTATTTAATTGCGTCATGATGGCGGCACAAAAAGACCACATTTCGGACAAAGGTTCATGTTTAAGGTCTCATCTTCAATCTTTGAACCGTTTGTTTTAATATTTACGCTTCTTTCGGCCTTTTGAACTTACCTTAAATTGACCTTTTGGTAACCCCGGAAGTAAGGTCAAGCGACTTCACGTTTTGTCCCAACTAAAAACGGCTTAAAGGTATGGTCAATCAGATTGCAAAGTATAAACATAATTGTTCATTCGGTTCATAGGTGTGAATGGAAATGTCACTTTTTGATTTAGTATTGTTTGTAGTTTGAAACCTGTTGGCACCATAATGATGTTACGGTATTATTATGCACATTTCGGGATCAAGGTTGACGTTTGTTCAAAGTTTCAAGTTCATGCTGTGACAGTTAAGAAAACTCGCAGAGACTTATTGTACACAAAGAACACACACATAAAACCACCAACACCAAGAAATAAGAAACGTACAGAATGAAATAATGATGGGGGGGGGGGGGGGGTTCAACCGGTAAATTTGCCAAAGAAGTGAAAATTGTTGTTGTTTTTTTGCCAGTCTAGTCTCCATACAAACAATTCTAATTTATTGTCATTTATTTAATCTCATTTTCATTATTATTGTTAATTTCTTTTTCAAAATGAATTTCTGATGCACATTTATTTTTCATTAGTTTATAATCTTATATTTAAACCAATGAAGGGAATTTATCTCGCATGCAATGAACAACCGTAGCTTGATTTATAATAAACGTCTTTTGTTTGCACAAATTCAGAAGAATACTATCTTTATTCCCACTTTACGGGTGATTGTTGCTGTTGATTTTAAAGAGAATTTGATGAATTTCTGACTTTTTTGGCCGTCGACATTTTGTGAAGGTTTAAAAGCCTTCTGAACATTTATTAAGATAGTGTCATGGCAAACCTTGGTTTTGTGAAGAACAGATTAACGCATTCCTGATAACGTCTCTCTCTCTCTCTCTGATGACTGTCAAGTGGTCTTACGGTGCATGTGGTACAAGGCCATTTCTGGCATGTCAGTTAAATCACTTGGTGCTCAGTCATACGTGACGGTAAAATGGAGTTCGTGGTGTCAAAAAAGAAGAAGACATGGTTATGTGACAGATGGCGGTTACCATTTTCCTAAATAATTAGTCATACCCGAGAAATCAACAAAATAAGCTCGGTTTCCTTTTTTTTTTGAAACGCCCTGTACATGTACATATCCCCCACTTTTTGACCGGGGGGGGGGGCTGTTGGATCATTCCCCCACGCCTTTTTCGTGATGAGGAAAATATGCGGATTTTGAGGCATTTTTTTGCATTTCCAAACAACCAGAATGTATTAAATAGCACTGAAAAAAACGGGGATTTTTTTAAAACGCTGTTAACCAGCCGGTTTGATGTAAGGTTAAGGCGCGTAAGCGCGCAAGTACACATAAGATGTACCTCCGTATCTCGCACGTACAGCGCCCCCAAATGTGGTGTCCCCCTCCCCCCGGGTTGTACCACTTGGTATTTTTTTTTTACTAGCCTGCATACAAACACATTTTCGACTGTTTGAATGCGGAACACCGGACGTTTTTACTAATAAATTCATAATTATGCACGCATGCGCATAAATGGGCCTGGCGGCAAGAAGCGAAAGCGTCCATTGAAAATGTACAGGGGGCCAAATATTCATGTCATTTTCTCTCAATTTCTCCAGGATTTGTTGCTTTATTTATTTAGAAAAGCCCCTAATTAAGTTATAGTCATTACTTTCTGGCCTAGGTGGATTTTTGGGGAACAGAATAAAAACTTTTAATAATTGCTTTCGTCCCGTGCGCACGAGGGCGAAAGAAATTAGCAGGGCCACTTTCCGCGATTCAGCCACGGCGAAGCCAGACGCGATTCAAATAAGTTGGTGGAAGGGTACCCCGAAGCACACGGTTATATTTTCCCCAGTGGTTCCAAAAGGAGCCTTTTGATTTTATTTGTAAGCACGTCCATATAGGAGGGATTTATGCACCATAATTTCTGTTCTTTCTCGACTACGTGTCGGAATTTAGAAGAGGGGCGGTTGCAAAGCACACTTTTGACTACCACATACACACCTGTACTGTGTGACCGACTTTAATGAATGAAAATGAATGGCATTTTCTATTTAGATGAGAAAGGGCGCTCATTCTTTCTCGTTGGATCAACGCCAGTGGACAAAGAAAAGAAAATATTTTAATGATTTTAAGCGGGGTGGGGTTAATGGGCGGAGCCTGTGAACCAGAGGTTTTGATTGGCTAGTGGCCATAACAGCATCACGTGCACGTGTAAAACACGCGGGGATATCAACATTCAGACCGTATATAGTATAGACACAGTCGTGAAAGACGGCAACAAAAACAGACGCAAAATTCGCTGAAGTTGAGTCCGAACGGCAGTGGTTTGTTTTTAGTGCAAGCTAACATGGGCGAAATGAAGAGAATTTCCCGCTCCCGAATGTTCCTTCTGCTGGCTGTTGGCATCGGGGTTTTCTTCTCGTGGACGTACCTGGTCGAGGAAGGATGGGGTACGCACAAGGGAGACTCCAGACACACCAGATCAGAAAACTCCAAACCGAAGACCCGCAGCGCGCCCTCCAGAGCACCCGACGTCAAGCACTGGTGGTGCTCGGGGCGGGGTGACCCTTATAAAATACCCCTCAACAGCTCCGAGTTACATATGAACGTGAACAACCAGAACTTGATGGCGGAAAAGTACTTCCTGACCGCCGTCCTGGTGGTGCGGATCTTCGCCTACGACATCGGCCAGGCTACAGCCAGAGACCTGGTGCACTGGCTGCAGTATCTCAGCTGGGCAGGCGTGGAGCACGTCTACGTGTACGACTCCTACCTGTACAAGAATGAATCCCAGAGAGAAAACCTGCGCTGCTTCATTGAGCTCGGCTTCGTGACCTACGTTGACTGGAGCCATAGAACTGTACCGAACATCCGCAGTCGAGACGGCGCCACGCAGATACCGGCCTACAACGACTGCTGGCAGCAGTTTGGACATCACTACGTCTGGCAGCTCGTCATGGACATCGATGAGTACCCGTACAGTGCCACAGATAGACATCCAGGCTTCTTGGCGCGCATCATCCGGAAGATTCTTCAGGGTAAGAAGGGAGGCAAACCGATCGCCCAGTTTACCTTCCAGAGTTTTGTGTTCATGGGTAAATCCCAGAATGCCACAGAACATCCGTTCCTGGTTGACCGATTTTGGCGGCGAACCAGACAGCCGTTTCTTCCTCACAGAACCAAACACGTTTATCTGTCCAGAGCAGTAAGCATCATCAGGGTTCACAACGCCGAGTTCCGGAAGGGTTTCGAGCGGTTCACCCCGGATGCAGAATTACTGAGGATGAATCATTACCATGGAGACCGGCATGACGTCATGGGCGATTCCAAGGTCATGAACATGACACAGCTCGATTGGGGGATGAAGAAAGCTTTGTCGGCTCTGCAAGTGTGCCATGGAAGTTGTTCATTAGGATGCTGTTGATGGTTAAACTTCAAAAGAACATAAAGTCCTATTATAATTTGTCGACTCAAAGAGAAAATATTTCACTTCGAAATCAATATTAATTTAAATATGTTTGAAGATTTAAATTAAGGATTGATATCTATATCATGTAGTGAGTGATAGTGAAAAAAACCCACAACGAAACCCAAAATGTCGGGACCATTGTTTTAGTAAAGTTCTGCACGTAGCACTTTCAAACTCTCGGATATGAAAGCCAGATTCATAAGCTTTTTTTTTAGTACAAGAATAATTCAAATCACTGATGTACTTTTCAAGTTACGGAATTTTAAACACAACCGCCGTTTTAAAGTTCTGTCCACGCATTTTATGTGTTTTTGTCTTGATAATTTTCTTCCAGTATATAAAGGGAGTATACACCTATAGATTTTGAAATCGAAATAATGTCGATGTGATTTTTTTGTTTAGTTCTTGCGTATTGAACATTTTTACTGTGGAAGGCTAGAAGCATTTCATAACAATTTATTATATATTGGTAAGTTTTTCTTTCATTTTTTTAAAAACACAATATTTTAGATCTTAAGAAATCTGATCTAACGAAAAAGTCCGAGTATTATTTGACTCTTACATTTTATGAGTTATCTTACTAAAAAAAAAAATTCATTCTTTTAGTAATCTAAAGATATGGGAATATGAAACGAGGTGTTGATAGAAATTAATAATAAAAAATTATATTATTTAAAGTGTATGGTTCTTTAATGGCTTAGAAATTAAACAACATGATTTATATTAGTTAATTGCAGTATATAATGACGTCAACATTGTGGCAAATCTTTTTGCTATTCAGTCAGTTGCAAAAATGATTGGATTTAGTGAAACATTTCTGTTTATAAAAGTCCTGATTTTAAAGAGCAAGTTGAAGAATTAATGGTATTTTATTCCTTTTATTGTATTTCATTTAGCCCACACCGAAAAGTCATTTACAAAATGGATAATTAAAAATATGTAAAAAATTAAAACAGTGTTAAGCTAAAACAGTTAAATTGCACACAATGAATAAATTGTCAGTAAAAATGCGACCACAAAGTCCAGGACTGAAAGCTTATAGATAAATATATTAGGCACACTCTGAACTGGACTCTTTTAATATTAACTTGAATATATTTATTGTGCTTTAAGCAATTATATCATATGCACCAACCTGCCTGACTAAAAGCGCCATAAATGATTCTGTCCATAATAGAGGTTGGTTCAAGTGATTATAAGTTTTTCTCGGGTGCATGCCAATTTCTGGTCGACATTTTGGAGTAAGACTTGAAACATCACATATATTTTGTTTGTAATCCCCAAATTCTTAACCCTAACTCCATAGGGGGTGTGCAAAATCATATTGAAATTGGAGGATTCAGGACTGTTGGGGCTATCCCGGGTAAAGAAAATCTTGATAATTATTTTAAATATTTACTGTCATCTGCATAAATAAAATGGAGCAAACGCTTAAAAAAAAGCGACTTAGCAGTTTTAAAGAATTTGTCTTTTGTTTGTACTGGTTCCAGAGGACCCGCATATAATAGTTCTCGCACACTGACTGATCGACTCGCATATCAGTATAGGGCGCAAGCACGCGCCATATTATGTCTTTTTTTATTATTATTATTCTGGTTTATTAATCATTGTGTTTGTAGCCAGAGGCTAAATTGTCACAATGGTACAAATTAAAAACAAAAAATCAGATTTACAAATTTACTAAAACATTTACCATCATACATACAAATATCAGAATACAATACTTGAAAAAAAAAGAGTTAATATTTGCACATCTGAATATAAGAAAAGCGCACTCTACCAGAATAGTACATGATAAAAAAGTGTTTTTTTTTGTTAACAGGTTAACGGTGGCCGTTGCATGACAACCATGCAGTCGACCATCGGATGTTCGAATTGTTCCTTGGAGTAGAACTAGAGATTAAGATACTAACCAGCTGGAAGCAAAAGCGTGATTTTAACTTAAATTTTCCTTTCACTTTAAACCAAATTTAGATTTTAAATCACTAGTGAGTGATATAAATCACTAATTTGAGCGCCATTATATAATGTTAACAGTATATTCTTTTTATTATAACAAACTCACATAACTTTGAACCAATGAAATATTACAGGCAGCAACTTTTGAGTGATTGCTTAACATTGGCATGTAACAGTTAAGACCTTTTACACAAAAAATTATGGTATAATTTTTACGCAATACTAATAAACAACTTTGACAGATCGGGCCGTCAAACTTTGCCCGATTCACCATTTTCAACGGACACTCAAAGAAAACCTACAAGTTCTTAATGGCCATTTAAATCATTCATATCGTTTTCTTCCAAGTAAAAGTGTCAGACCAGCGCCCTCATCTGTCTGCAATATGATATATTCATTGTCTGATACAATTTTGAATTAAGATTATCAAGCTGTACGTCTACATCCCTGAGGAATTCAATAACATCCCGTGTTCAAACTGGTGATCATTAATTTCATAACATCAAACTTTTCAGTTATTTGTACCTGATTCTGATATTAACTATCCATCAAATTAAAGTAATAAAACTGCGTCAATCTTGCGAAGATACTGGCGTAGATGTTCCAATCAGATAACACTCAAAGCGCACGCAGTTCCCGCGCACGTACACTGAATAATATATGCCATTGTTTTCAGCGAATGAGGGTCTACAAACAGAACAAATATTACTTTTATGTGAAGCAATTTAGCCGACTCCAATCTAAAACCTAAAGAATGTTCAATTTTATAATTAGTTAAAGTGTATATATATCTGCAAAATATTCATCGATGAAAAAAATTGAACGGCGTCGCGACAGCGCCCTCATTCGTTGAAAAATGTCCCTGATTGGTCACAGCGCCCTCTACTGTTTCATGCGTATATATTCTTAAGACCCATCACTAAAGATCCTATAGGATCTGTGCCTATCACTTATTTGAGGAGGAGCTTGGAAGTAGCGTATCATCGCCACCTTCTCGGTAATTAGCAGCTCCCGACGTGCATTCCCAGCATTGCAAACATCTGTGATTAAAAAAAAACAAGAACAAAACGAAAGCTTCGGTAAACGCTTGTCAAACACAACGGCTGTGGGTACTGATTTGCATATTTCGTCATACTGATATCGTGCAGTACTAAACGGTGGCGTGGCGGCGTCTTCCTCCATGCTACAACGAAACTGTCTTGAATAGTGAATACACATGCGGTTTTTTTGGTCATGCTTCGAGAGCGATGCCTCGGTTTATGGGTGCACCCAAAGCATTTACATTCCCATAGAGACCAGTAATAAATCCCATTACATGTACGTTCAATATTCTTATTAAGTAACCAAAAACTCTCACAGGAGTTCAGGCGACACAGAACAATGATGATCAACATGTCGTCTTTCATTTTCTGTTGAAGTTTTGGTGGGTTGACCAATGACTTTTTGAGATATTCTCACGGAAACAAGACCACCACTAAAACCAATGATATTTCCCAAACTGGAAAAGTAGCCATTTTTTATGAAGAGCTTCACAACATGGTTAAATAGCGCCACTTCTGCATCCAAATGACTCAGTCCAGGCCAGAGGTGCAGTGCCATTATCTGCAATTCTCTAATTCCACGGCTCTCATAACTCTCCAATATAGACTAATTTGAATAATTTGAATGTATGACTTTTGAGCTCGGCGGACGGATTAATGTCCTATTTACCGGGTTGCACCCTTCGAGAGATACGCCACGGTTTAAAGGGTGCATCCCAGTAAATAGACCAAAAATCCGTTCGCCAAGTAATGAAAAAGTTTTATACTCAAATTGTTCTATATTATTGAGAGTTCTGAGAGCCATGGAATTGGGGAATTGAAGAAATATGGCCATGCCCCTCGATCTGGCCTGGACTTGGAGCTTCCAATTCTGAGCACTTTGAATGTAATTAGGCTCGAAAGATGCGCTATTTTCAGCCATGTTGTGAAGGTATCCTTTTTCAAGCTGGCTACTTTTCGAGTTTGGGAAACATCACTCGTTTTAAGGGTGGTCTTCTTAGGGTGAGAATTTCTCGAAAAGTCAATGGTCAACCCACCAAAAATTGAAGACAAAAAAATGAAAGATGACATGTTGATCGTGATTTTTCTGTGCAGCCTGAACACCTGTGAGAGTTTTGTGTACTTTTAAAAGGATTTTGAAGTACGGGCATTTTATCATGGTGTCCAGGGGAAAAGCTTGGGGTGCACCATAGTGCACCCATGTCTATAGTGCGCCCTCTGTATTGGCGGAGTTGAACATGTCTTCAACGATTCATGAAAAAGTGTGCAAGTGTTCACGTACTTATATCACAGCCTGTACGTGCATTCTTTGCGGGCTCGGCTTTTCACAACATAACATGGGTGGACAGGACGTCTACAGGGCCTGGAAAACGATGCTTTTATCTGTCGTCGGTTGGTAAGTTTACAAGAAAGTTCTTGAGCAAACATTGGCAGAGACCCATATGGAGAAATGTGTAATTGAGACTAGTTCCCGCTTCATGCCACATGTCTCTTAGATTCTTTTGGCATGGTTGATTGATGCAGTACTGAAGCTGTGTTGGACTGGTTGCTTTGGGTGCCAGTCTATTCTCTTGTTTTGCATGTTTTCAATGCCTTAAGTACCTCTCATACACAGTATTGAGAGTCCCAAATTTTTGGACTTGCAGAGATTTATTGAACATGTGGACGAGATACAGTACTTTGGTCATTCTTGATTAGCATGGATAACTGTCTTTCGAACTTACAATATTAGGGCAGATGGTATTGCGGTCATGCCAGCCATAAGCCTAAAAACCAGGTGAGGGTTATCTTCAACAGTAGCTTCGTAGACAGTGCCGAACACCGTAGGACCCATAAGGGATGCCAAACATTCTATAGCCATTGTCACTCCGAACACGCTCCCTGAACACGAAGAACACATCAAAGGAAAGAAAAGAACGCACCCAATCAATAATCCAGTCATTGTTCTGTAGTATGCATAGCCTAATTAATGCGCATGCGTCAATAACAAATGTTGCGCCTGCGTCATCAAAGTCAACTAAATTAAATAGCCTCAATGCACGCGCATTATTGTACAGTAAGATTTGCCCTTATGATGAACCCTAATGGACATTAATGGTATGTTTACGTACATATTCTTGAGGTTTACTTGCCAATATTTTAGTAAGGCAAAAAAAAAAGTCGGTCGACTCTGGTCAGCGCGCGCGTCGATTTTAATCATGTGCGGCAACTTTTTTTCTAAAATGTTCCGTAGTAGCTCCAACAGCGCCCTCTATTGCCGCACCTCCTCATTTTTTTTTTTTACCAAAGAGCACCAAGTAATGGGAAATTGCACCAAGGCAAATGATCGAGGGTACCAAGGCAAATTATGGAGGGTACCAATGTACACCAAAACAAAAAAAGGAAATAGTACCCCACCTTGTCTGTACAATTTAAGCTTGAAAAAACAAACAAACAAAAAACAAAAAAGCCACGTCGCCGCATCAATGCCGGAGCTTTGGTCTGACCATGCAGAGACCGAGCATTTTTTTGGGCCTAATTATTGAAATGAAAAGAATATCACTCACCCATGCTGTTTTTCTTCACCATTTTGGATACGTTAGCGGTTAGAATCGGGCCAGGTATCATACGGAATGCACCAAAAACAACCACTGCGAAAGGGTGATACAAAGCGAAAAACTGAACATAAGGGGGAAGGTTGGCGAGTTCGTCGTGCATGCTTGCCTATATTATAAGCAACACTTTCATCATGGACCATTATCATGTTTCGGCTATCTTGTTTTTCCCCCCATTCAAATCAATGCAACCAAACCGAGGCTAGAAGGAAATATAGTCTGGTTCCTTCTGGCACAAAAAAAAATTATCATTCACTTCTGTTATTGGATACAGGGAACATGAATGAAATGGTGGCAGCATGATAAAAGTCTATTGCGTGCTACGCTTTAAGACCAGGTTTGCGCGGACATCCGGGAGCTTAATCTTACAAAAATCGCCTCGTTTTAGATCCCATACGTATTTACTGAACATTCAATGGTTCTTGGGTCTAATAGGGTGTTGAATGGTAACTCATCGATCGCAACCAGTGAAAAGTGGTGTGCACATTAGGCTAATATATGTTTTCATTGGTATCCCGTTCACACCTGTAGACTATGTGACAGTTGTTTAGAAATTGGATGCTGTGATCACGTGATGCCTACTTTCCGTAAATGGTTCTTTTCTGCACTGTGCATGTATAACTCCTGAAATGTGATTGGTTAAATTTGTTGACACGTACTGTGGGCCAAATAACAAGAGATGCTTGAATGCTGAGATTGCCAGGTGCTTGCCTGTCAGCATGACGTCATAGGGCACGTGATCTATTCAGGAAATAATTATTACCTAGGAAAAGTCCCGCATCGGTCCTTGCATAGATTGGGATGACTGTGCTGATCACCATGGATATGAAACCGATCTGTATCAAACCATTGTCATCGAACCAAGTCCGTAGAATCTTAGTACCTAGTGTCATACCTATACAAAGAATTCAAAATCGGATTAGAAAGCCTCCAGCAAAGTAAAGGAAAAGATTACTCAAAAGTGTTTGTCAGTTTTGTGAACTTTCTGTGACGCCTATTTTATATGTCTTTTGTGACGCTTTTTTGTAAAGTGTTTTTTTTGTCGAATTGTTTGGTAGTTTGGTGTAATTTGTGTCATGTTGTATTGTACAGTTGCGTCTATAGACCTTTCTGTTGGCAAACTGCATTTTTGCCAACGGCGGCCTGCAAAACTATGGAAGGTCCAACACTGCAAAAATGAAGAAGAGTTATTACAGATCACCAAAATATTAATTGATACTTGAAAATACAACATTTTTAACAAAGCTACAAAATAATTCCCACATATGTCTTTTTACCATGTGTTGATGGCGTTATGAGGACTTTTTGGAAAAAATATGCTACCACGGCTTCAATTTATGCGCTTACGGCAGCTCATACAAAATGGCGCCAATGTTTGCAAACAAAAGAAAGGTCTATGCTACCTGCACTTACCAATTGCAACACCGATTAGTTTTGCTGCAGAAAAGTATCCAATCAAACTGGGGGACCAACAAAAGGGCTCCCCCAACGCTACGATCTGCAGTATGGCCAGGAAGTAGAAGGAGATCTGGGAGTAGAGGAACATAGCGAGGGCGCTGACGATAAGGCCGCTGTTCCATTTACCCGTGTCCGGATCTTTGAAGACGGCCAGCGTGTGTGTGCACAGCGACGGCAGGCGTGACGTCGTGCCTACGTCATTGTCAGTGCCATCCGTTGGTGATGCATTTGACTGTACAGTAGAAAGGATATCATTGAAAGATTAGGGCTAAAAATAAATCCTTGCATATATAACTTGGAAAGAGTAACAAGCCAGTTCGGTGTCGCCATGAAGTAGTAGTCAGGTCAAAGGTCAAGTTAGGTCAGGCGCCCGTCTCCTGGCACGTCCATGCGCCTTTGATGAGCGTTCGATTATCTCGAAAGACCTGTGACCCATATCATTGTGCGTTTGCGCAGTTGAAATACCTAACTGGCGTTATGTCAACCTCGGGCAAGTTCGCGCAAGGACTATAGTTAACCATTCGTCGACTAACGCTTGCCCGAACTCTGTCTAGTCGACGATGGTTAACTACGCTAGTCGACTATTTGGAACCAACCTACTGGGGTTGGTTGCTTCGCTGGTAACCATAGCCGCGCGCATTCATAACGCTAGCAGAGAGCCAGGATCCAGAAGTTTTGCGATGACAATTTGACCAGCGTTTGACTAGAGACGTTCGCACGTTGCTATCAGTGCGCAGGCGTAAGGTACGTCACAAATCAACCACTAGTCGACTAATGGTCCTTGCCCGAACTTGGCCCATGACTCAAGTTCATTGGCACCAATTCCTTCAAGATCGCGCAAGGCATGGTGGGAATCAACATGGCGCAGTAAGATTATACCATCGATCTCTATTAAAAGGTATGGAGATCAATGGTTCATACTCATGGGAACGAAGTTGGCTTATTGTAAAAGAAAAACTATTGTAATGGAAGAACGTCGTCCCCAGTTCGTCATTTATTTTCAACCTAATAATGACTATGAACAGGTAGTTGAAGCGTGTACTGTTTGACACAGTGACATCGGGAATGAGGTAGATTAGTTGAACGATACGTTAGGCCTGAATGTCAGTTTTGTTTGTTCGTTTATTTTTTGTGCTGAAGATATCTTTCCTCGACAATTCTTCTGTACTTGTTGCCTATTCCAATTTTTGTTTGCTAAAATAGCACTGACGGCAATTGATTTTGAATTCGAGGAAACGGTAGGCCGACAGTCATAATTACAAACGTAAAGCTAATTGACGCTGCATTTTAACATAAATTCTGTGTCAAATGAACAATTTGGCAAAAATGCTCTAGGCCTACTGTTTACCAAAAACTACTAACTCCATTCGAGGTAATTTGCTCCCCAAGTTAGTATCCAATCTTACCTCAGTATTGGGCAGGAATAAGAATACAAAGACAGTTGTCAGTGCGCATATCAGGAACAAGATGGTGAAAGTCATCGTGAAGCCAGCGCCCTCTATCAGATAGCCGATGCCAATTTGTGCGATCCCTTGTGCACCGAAGTTGAACATTGCCAAAAGCAACAAGTTGGACGAGCGGTCTTGTTCATCTGTAATTTTCCCCAGGTATTTTAGCATCGTTGCAAATTGGAGGAAAAAACTCCCACTTATACCCAAGATGAAAATTGGTATTAGTGCAAACCAGGGCGATAGAGTGAACTGCATGATTATGATGTAGATTGCCATATGGAGGGTAACACCGACACACGGTAGAAGCTGAATGCTTTTCTCATTGGCGCTGTCCGAGTCCATTCGTGCGGATGCGAGAATGGTCACCGCCGCGCTCGGTATGTTTCCCACGATGGATGTGACAGTCGCCAGCAGAGCTGTCCGTTCTTGGACTTCCACGTTGGCAGCGGCTGAGGCGTTGTTTGCGTAGGTATCGTTTAGGGCCGAGCACGGGCTGTTGTGCCCCATCGACGCCATCTTGTCGTCTCCCTCCCCGTAACCAAGCTCGTTGGAGACAAGAAACCGCAGCGCTTGCAGAGAGGCGGTGAATATTGCGCCGAACACAAGCCCGCTCAGAAAGGCATAGATTGTCAGCACAAGCTTGAGCGGCAACAACTGTCCGAGGTTTTTCCCGCCTTCTGCCATTTTTTCTAAAGAAAGACAAACACAAATATCCGTGGCACGAATAATCCCGAGTATCACAGCGACGTAGGAGTTTAACATAGACCTATACCTAAAATGCATGCTGGAACAATTTTAGTGGGCAGATAAAGGAAATATATGGGCGAATTGTGCCTTTGACGACACAAACATGGAATTTGGCGCACAGTCAGAGTGTGTCATGAGAAAGATTTTTGGCTATACGGTCATCGCAGATTTGTGCTTTGAAAAAAAATACGGGTAGAATAACAAGCAATTTTCAAAATGGCTGCCATTGCTTGTTATTCTACCTATACATGTATTTTTTTTCCAAAGGACAAATCTGCGATGGCCCTATAGCCAAATATCTTTCTCGTGACATACTCTGGCTGTGTGCCGATTCCACGCTTGTATCAAAGGCACAATGCCATCACCTAACTGCCGTTCTATGTATAGCTGGACTGAACATTGAATGTGCTAGAAGAGAAAGTTACATGACAGGAGATATTCTTAGGAGAGACAATGACTTGAATGTTATTATACATGTATATACTTAAAGAAACATTGGATCATCTGTAATCACCCGGGAGAATACCCACCAATTTAATGGCAGCACAAAGTGAAGATAGAACTGATATCAAATACCCTGTGAAATTATTCTTCCTCAAATGGTATCCTTTTGAAAAAAGCTAACATTGAAGGTGGTTTCAAATCAGGGCGCCTACGGCTACATTTTTCAAAAACTACAAATAGCTCCATTCCTTTTCCCCCTGTTTTCTCAACATATGGGCCCCAAAGTATTGATCCACTGAGTGGACACTTCAACAGGTCTACTTAAAATTTCGAGCAACTGTGTAATTAAAAACTGCAAAAAAATGCACCTTAAAAAGACAAGTTTACCACTTACCTTTAGGAGCAAGAAGAGCAGCAAGTAACGAAGATGAATACCATGCACTTCAGAAGGCGATCCTTTAAACACACTAGTGCAAAATGTGCTTTCCAAAACGGAACTTGCTCTCGGGTATGCCCGTATAGGCCTAGTAGCAATAAAACTCCACGTACATGTATATACTGTACAATCAAACCAAATCTATTATATCCGATATTTGTCTGATTTCATTCAAGCTGGCCTCATCTCCCCAGCAGTGATTTTTACAACACGATGCGCGTTCCATACCCGCACATCTACCATCGGATATGTTGTACAAATCTATTAAAGTGTTGGGCCTGTCAACATCTTTTCTTTTAGTCCTTGTATAGTTGCTGGTACAATGTACCACCAAATGTAAAACTACGTGGGAACCATTGTACATAAAAGAAAAGAGCCGGTCTGCAAACGATCCGTGCAATAATACCTGAAGCGTTTTATATAGCCGTACATCTCCTATATGCGCTGTCTTTTTCATTATTATTTATGTATTACTTTGCCTTTTCAATATTACCTTTCAAACTTCAAATTATTGCGAACGCTTCGAAACGTTTTTTTTTAACCTGGCATGTAGCTAAAGTGATTAAGCATCACCAAATATACCACAGTGTCTAACATGGAGACAGTTTTCATTAAGTTCCATTAGGCAAGCATAACATTTATAAAGGTTCCTAAATGCCCCAAAAAATGATTTGCAAGGACTGTATTAACAAATTACAATGCATGGGCCCTTTGATTCAAAAATCCACCATCGTTGTTAATGAGGGGTTAAGATGATAGTGGCTTTGATGCCTTACATAATACGTCTTGAAATATCGTATTTCTGTTCGACTTTGTACAATATTTTTTTAAAGTGTTTTAAACACACAGCCAGAAAACGACGCCTTTAACATTACCTATAATATGGATATGTAGATATCTTTGTATCTGGAAAGTCACATGTTAATTGCTAAATCAGATTTACAAGAAGCAAATACAAAGTACATTTAAATGTATAGATAATTTGTTATGAATTCTAAATTCATATTTGCTAGCATTAATACAAAGCATTCCAAGCATAATATGTCCGCAACATGTGTAATCTGCTCAACACAATACTCCTAACATACTAATAACACTTTTTTTCGTATGGCACAAAGTTTAAGATATTCTGCTATAGTGCAATAGGTCCAGAGGCCATATTTTGGAGCAATTGAGGGCGCTGTATCAGGACGTCATTTTGGGGTACAAACCACAGACATATACCAACATCAGACGGAAATTTGGTACCAACATCAGAACTATCACGCTCAGTGAAGCAATTTAGCAACTTCAATATACAATGTTGCATGCAAACTTCAGTAACCATGGATTCACCCCCAAGATTGCTTCTTTGTAGCGCCCTCATTTGCTGATTATGGCTTATTTATTTAGCAACTGCATCATAAACATGTTCATTGTTTTTAGAAGTTGTCGCATTGTTCTCAACAACTGCATCATTAACATGTTCATTGTTTTTAGAAGTTGTCGCATTGTTCTGTTTGTTCTGACTGGGTATTTTTTGTCCTTTGTCCGAAGTTTCTCTCGTAGACTTCGAGGAAGATTGAATCGTCGATGTGTGCAGATCCATTGACTCACAAGCACTCGGTATACTCTTTTGTTCGACTGACTCATAACCGCTCAAGTTATCACTAGGCGCGGCAGTGTTATTTAGCGATTGGCTAACCCCGTTCACTTTCTCTTCCCAATGGAGGCGTTCACGTCGCCATCTTGGAGAGCGGCATCAGCAGTCTGGCGCCCTGACGCCTCGCCGATTGAAGCATACTCCTGTCCTGCAGAGCCCCCGTCAATTTCACGAGCTGACTTTTCACTTGACATCACTTTATCTGGGTCTAGCTCCCACCGCTTGTTACTCTCATCAATTACAGAAGCACACGCATTGGCATGCAAGCAAGCTTCAGCTTCAGTCATTAAAGCATTTGCTTTGGATGTATCAGTCTTGTGTCCTATATCAACAATATCTCCAGAAGTGTTGTAAGCCACACCGGGACCAGGCCTAACACCGTTGCCAGTGCCTTTTGAGATCTCCTCAAGACCAGGAAGCATAGAAGCAAAACAATAATGATCAGTGTGTTATATTGTGGGGTTCTTTTGCAATGAATCTGACGGAACGGACTCGCCAATATGTAGCGGGAGACTTGTCATATGGGGGCTGATATCTTGAACTGTCCTTTATTGCATACTGGTTTCGTAACGTGTAGTTCGTGTCACGAACAACGTACATATGCACAGATCAATTATTACAACAATCAGCAACACTACCAAAATCCCAACAATGATACCGGGACCCATGTTAATCGGTTTGGTATCACCAACTCGGGTCCTAGCATCTGTGTCTGTCACTGTTACGCCGCTTGACATAGTCACAGTGGTCTGGATAGTGTCACAATGTCTGATGTCGGTAACCAACGCTCCACTGCTGCATCTCTGTATCAAGGCCGGCTCACTGGTCTCAGACAAGCCAATGTCATTGGAAGCTGTGCAGGTCACTGATAGACTATCCCAATCCATTTCAGTCACCGATATCGCCAGAGTCCTACCTCCGTTCGTAATTCTGTGACTGTCACCAAGTTCAACCCCCTTCCACATGTTTGTCGTGGCGTTGTACTCCATGACTCGCCACTGCCAGCTGGTGACAGGTGGCACGGCTTCTGCGTCGCAGTCAAATATCGCTGTCGTGGTGCCGCTGTCCAGGTCGTCGACAATGTCCGACGAGTCAAATCGCAGCGTGACGTTTGTGGGAATCTGGAGCGGGACCAGTGTGCAGCTCGGCCCGCCGATGTCATCCGTACCGGCAAAGCATGTAAACCGTCCATAATTGTCACTTTCGAGGAGTTGATGTGGCTGGTTGAAGGAAGATCCTCTTTGAACTTGCAAAGTTCGTCGGAACGTTGTTCTCTCAAAGTACCAAGTCAGCCGTACGGATTCATCCTCCGCATCTTGAGGCACCTCACAGATGAGGTAGAGCTCCTGGTTTGGCGATGCAACCACTGGTCTGGTTCGGCATGTTGGTACTACCAGACGCGGGGTCACGGTCAAAATCCCAATATCAGAATACTCACTGATGAGTCCAGAATCCTGAATTTCGGCCTTTACAACCCAGCACCCGTATCTTCCACTGTCTCTTTCAGCCACCTCTGTTATCTGCAAGCCATACCGGGAATTGTCACCGTCAAAAGTCACAGAAAATCTGCTCGAGTCAGAGGCATTGCGAAGCAGCGGGGTTAGGCAGGTTCCTATCACGCCCAAGGGGTCGCCTCCGCGAAGAGAGATCGAATAAACCCAGTTCATGTTCGCACAAGTAAATTCATCTTCAGTCGAACACCAGAAACGAGCCACTCCCCCGACTGGTACTGTTACATCCAATGGATCTTCAGCGAAGAAAGCACCTTTGGAACAACCCAACCCAAGCACAAGCAGCACGCACACTATAGACGCTGCCATAGTGAATGTCGTACGTTCAATTAAATTAGACAAAGCATAACCGCAACACAACGCAAACTGTTCAACAAGGTTGCGTGCAATCCACTGGCAAGTTTCGATATGTGATGAGTTTCGATACCCTGAAACGAAACAAGTATCTGTAATGTGCTTTACAATAACATAGGCCAAATAAAAAAACAAACATGTTAAGCGTCCCCGCCCGCTTGCTTTTTTTCAACCGAAAAAAAATAATAGATTTTTAACAGTGACATCATTTTGGCCTCATTGTCTGTTGCATCTAGCCCATATAAAGCTGGTATGTCATTTCCTGTGTCCAATAGCGGCCATTAAAAAAAAAGCAACTGGGTGGCCATCCCGCGAAAAATAGCCCGGTCGGGCGGCCATTTTGGAAGGGGGAAAAAGGACCTCCTGCTTCCTTTTTTTCTCAAAAAAGCAGGACGCTAAACATGTTTTTGTTTTATTTGGCCTAAGTGTATTTGTTTTGTGGCTTCCTGCCATTTTCTGACAAAACTGCACATCGTCCCAAACCCTTTTCCTGCCATGCAGCAACCCCAAAAAGGTTAGCACAACTTTAACCATCCTGTCCGGAAACTTGTGTCATTTATAAAGGCGATAGGACAATGCATTTAACTTCCAGGCTGTTGATAATATATTTCTTATATGTATATGTTTTAGCACATAAAGCGCTGTAACAACAAAAGCTTTTTGTGTGCAACGTGGAAACAGAAGAAATATCACTTGTATTGAAGCAGTTTTCCAATTTTACTTCAATCTTAAAACCGAAGAGAGAAAAAAGTAATGTTTTTCTCCCATGACAAGCAGAATATATAAATAATCTGGAAGCCACGTCTGTTTGTCCTCTTCCCATCACGGTCATTCTATAAATGTGGGGTCCAGAAGAGTGACATTTTTGAGGCCCTGTTTCACCTGACCTGTGAGTAATTTTACATGAAAATATAATTGAAATTGACTTTTATTAGCAGGTATTTTGTATTGCATCTTCACTCTTGGAGGTAGAAGGCACTATTAAAAAGAATGTGTTTTCAATTTACAAAAACTTATGTCAGATGTAAACAGGGACACCAAAATAACATTGGACCCCAAATTTATAGAATGACCCATTATTGCCTTGTTATACTAACTGAATTTGCTAAAAAAGAGTAAAATCCCATGAATATCAATATCTAAGTACTGCATCAAGATAGGAAACCACACATAATATTGATAATATGCAGAAGAACCAATTCGAATATTGATCATGAAGTTAAAGGGCTTGAAATGAATTGTACTTGGGAACATAATTATTTTGTTCAACTTTTTACTCCTCTTAAATGCATGAAAACTATTTGACAGTCCTTTTTGGTAAATCTTAGTAAATCTTAGTGAAACGTGCACCTCTTTAAAAAACGTAATAGATGTTCATTTCAGGAAGATACTGTCCAGTATGGGGTTTTATGTTCAATTTTGAACCCAAAATTAGCTCATTGAAAACAGTAATTTTTTGGTGAGAAAACTTTTAAGTTGCCAATGAACCTACTGTCATTACCAAAACAGCAACGAATCACCAAAGAAAAGAACATTTACAACAAAATATCAAAATTGTGGTGCTAAAATAGCTTTAATATTGAAGTTTTTGCCTGAAGTGACATCACACTTTTGCTCACAAAAATGCAAATTTGCATTAGCATCA